GTACACCTAGTTAGCATATCATCAACTGTCGGTGACCCTAAGGTACACCTGGTTAGCATATCATCAACTATCGGTGACCCTAAAGTACACCTTATTAGCATGTTACATCGTGGGTATGCGGCCTCAGCAGCACACCTGGAGTAATATATACATATGATGCATGTCATACAATCATAATCTCATTGACTCAATATTTAACTTATTATAGAATTTCATTTAGTACATCATGTCCTCATTTGTCAGTCTCATAATCACAGTTTGTCTCAATAGTCCATTCTTAGGTCTCATGTCATTTGTCCATATTTCACATGGTCATGTCATAAATACTCCTCATAAGGTCCACATAGGAATTCGTAGAGAACATTCTTTTTCATATTAAAACTTATTTATTTTTAACGTTAATGACATAATCATTTATTATTTCCAACAAGGAATAAAGTAGAACAAATAGAAAATCAGACAGAACAACGACAAGAGATTGGGATTATATAATCATTTATTATTTTCAACAAGAAATAAAATAGAGCAAACAGAAAATAAGACAGAACAACGGCAAGGGATTGGGGGCCAATCCGACAATCAAACTATCCAACAATTATCCCCACACCCTTGAGCGAGGTTTCTCACTCCCCCCTTTACCTGGATAAGCGGAGTTGAAACTTGGGCAGGGCCTCCTCCTTTGAATTCCCTCTTTCCTTCCCTCTCTTTCTTTCTTTCTTTCTCTCTCTAAGATTTCACCTTCTCACTCAATATAAATTTTTCACCCCCCCTTGCCCCTATTTATAGGCATCCTGGCGCACCCGGAACGGCCCGTATTGAATTCGGAACGGCCTGTTCCGGATCTTTCGAATCTGTGCAAAATTTTCAACTGGAACGGCCCGTTCCAAAATCGGAACGGCCCGTTTCAAAAAACAGAATGAACCGTTTCAAAAAGCAGAACAGTCCGTTCTGAAGTTCACGTTAACACTAATTGACCATAGTTGGAACGGCCCGTTTCCAACTAAGGTCTTTAGGCAATTTCATAATGACCCGTTTCAAAAAGCAGAACGGTCCGTTCTGAAGTTCACACTAACACTGATTGACCATAGTTGGAACGGCCCGTTTCAAAAAACAGAATAACCCGTTTCAAAAAGCAGAACGATCCGTTCTGAAGTTCACGTTAACACTGATTGACCATAGTTGGAACAGCCCGTTTCCAACTAAGGTCTTTAGGCAATTTCATAACCTTGGAACGGCCCTTTTCCCTTTGGGAACGGCCCGTTCTGGAAATACAAAAATGAGTCCTTTTCTTCTTTGGAACGGCCCGTTCCACTTTTGGAACGGCCCGTTCTGGTCCCTCAAAAACAACTTATTTTCATTGTCTGGAACGGCCCGTTCCACTTTTGGAACAGCCCGTTCCAGCCTAAAATAGAATTTATAAAAATTTTCATAAATGATTTTAAATTATTAAAAACCTTTACAAATATTTTATAAAAACCCCTTTTAGTTAACCAAAATAACTTATAAAAATAATCTTCATAAATATATATAAAAATAGACAATAATTGATATTGCTATAGTAGAAATTCCAGGGTGTTACAATAATCAGGCATGCATACTTTGCTTTCAAAGTAATTCCTCGGTGCCAGTCAACTTTGCATATTCATTCTCATCTATGGTCCCTTTCTTCAATTTCTTCAACAAGCGATATTCCTGCATCAACTCTTCCTCGTCTTCCATTGTCTGCTGAGCACGTCTCTGTTTAGCTGTTTTCTTCCGCATGACAGTGGGTGCATTTGGGGTTTTGTTCAGTTTCTTAGGTTTTGGCTCTTTCTCTTTGGCTTCTTTCTTTGCCTGCAGGTTCTTCTTTCTTTGTTTCTCTCGTGATTTATCTCTGTATTATTGAAGTTTAGCCGTCAGTAAGGGTTTCTAACAGAGAAAGGAAAAGAAAATTTAGAAGGACCATAGAAATACTACATGGATGCAGGACATTCATATTAAAGTCAATTATGAATCTTAAAGAAAAGAAATTAATTTCCATCATTCTATCATCGTAAAAGGGGAATTGGATAATCCCTTAATCAACCAGGTCAACATAGCACTAAGTAAACCAAAGAATGGCTTCCAAATAATACCTTTCCTCTTCAACCGTAGCTTATAATGAGCTTTCAATTTCCACTCAACTGATAAAAATTAGGGCGAAGCTTGAAGAAAAACAAAAGATCAAGCTCCAACTCAAATTTAGTTTTCAAACTCCAGCTCAAGCTCAATTTGAATAACAATTTAAAATATTAACCTATAATTATACAATTAAGTTTATTAAATTATTATAATTATAATTTTATAAAATATAATAAATATCATATATAATTAATATAGCTCCAGCTAAAACTATTGAGCTTTTATGTTGTTCCAACTTGAGTCCTAAACATTAGCGAGCTTCAAAGGAAACAAGCTAACCACATTAAGGTACTCATTCAATTGCCACCCGTTAAAAGTAGGGCAATAAAATAAGATATATGTAAGCTATATATGGTTTCCATTCCCTACGATAACATTAGTGCAATTGATGCTTATTAGGAGTTTGTTTGGGTATACTTCTCCATAAACACTTTTAAGAGAGAGAAATAAAAGAAACAATAAAATAAGTTTCACCATAAGCTAAAATTAGCTTATGCACAAGCTAAATTATAGAAGCTCTTTCTAATTAGTTTATCCAAAATCTTATTTTTAACTTATATGTAAACAAGTTTTAATTATAGAAAAACATATTTTGATTTTCCTTCTTATTTTTCTCTCGTAAAAGTGTTCATAGAAAATGTTTATCCAAATAAACCCTAGATGTAAATGAGTTTTAACCTATCAGCTCAAAATTTTGGGATTGAAAGTTCTGGACATGGCATTAGAGTCTTTTGACCAAGTGGTCAGGACTCGGGACAAATAATTTGCCGCATGCTACCTCCATTCTTCAAAATAAAAAGATAAATTTCAACATAAGGTCAGGTGGCCTGGCCCTTTGCTCGCTCCTATCAAGAGCATAAGCCTTGGGGGGAAATGATTCTTGGCAATGCTTTCACCCTAGAGCTAGAAAAGTTATGCTATAAAAGTGTTTTTACTTTACCTGAACTTAATATCCTCCAATTTGATATCTTCAACTGGTTCAAATCCATCAGTGGAAAGTGAGTGGTGTTTTACCTCTGGCATTGAAGGGAGTTGTAATAAGCCAAATCCCATGGCCAATTTTCCAATTTCAAGTTCTTTCCACCTGTAAGAGTGAGATAATTAGTTTGATGATGATGATGTTTCATTATAGAGAAAAAACAACATTATACATAAACATTACTCACCTAAAAATATAGGAGCAGTGATGCTCTTTATAAGCACGGATGTAAGAGACAAAAGCCTTGACTCCCTTTTCCATGACATCACGATCTTTTTTTGCAGCAGAACGAAGCTGAAGCATGTTTGATTAACAGTGTTGTTATTGGGAAATTGGAGAATGTTAAATTTTCATATACAATTTGCAGTTTGATCAAGATAGGACTGGTAAGCATGTTTACCTAAATTATTAATCAAAACAAAAAACTATCAAGAGTAAATGAGTATCAAGGATTTGGTTATGTTGTATCAGGGAATTTATTTCCACTAATTATTTTTTTTGACTCAATTAGAAGTTTGCAGACATGATTAATTAGTTCATAGATCTAATTAGTATCACTAATCATTAACCAGCACATCAAAGGATCTTTCTATTGTGTTAGTACAAATATTATGGAAAAAAAAACAAACAATTAAGATTATAAAGGCCTGGAGCAAACCTGCGGAACAACATCAGATGCATCATCAGAACATAATCTCTCTTGAAGAGGAACTCTTCTTATACGCAGGAATTCTACATAAGACTCCTCCTACATGTTTATATAGATTACATTACAATAAAATGAACCATTTTAAAGAATCATGCATGGATTATCAAAAGCATTACAACATGAATATACTTGTGACCAAACCTTTGGTAATAAGAAGACAACAGCATGACCTTGTTTACCCAGCCGTGCAGTTCGACCTACTCTATGTATGAAAACATTTGGATCTTGAGGAGGATCATACTGTGCAAGAAAATGTTTGAACCACAATGTATAGTTTTTACTTTAGCCACCATGAGAGAGAGAGAAACAAAGAAGATGAAACACAATAGTCAATAGACAATATCATCTACAATCTCATAGAGCTACCTGCACTATACAATCTACACCTGGTATGTCAAGTCCACGTGCTGCAACATCCGTACATAAAAGAACTCCATCTGAAAGGGATGTAAATGAAGCTAGTGCTTTCTCCCTGGCAGACTATATGGCAAAATAAATAGATAATCAAATATATATGGTTAAACATTGACAAAATAATGGAAAATAAGAAAAACAATGCTGATTTATAGAATATTAATATTTTATGCTTCAATATTGAAAAATGCTAACATCCAAATTTATACCTGCTTCATCTTTCCATGCAGGGGAATCAAGGAGAAGCCTTTCAAAACAGAAAGGCAAGGAAGGACAGCTCCCCAATAATCAACACAAGCACAAGTCATGAAATATCTGCATCAGATTCAAAATGATGTTTAGAGTGTGATAAAATATTCTTCTACTGCACAAAACACCTCATTCAATGGATTATTAACATGTATCTCACATTATAATCTTTTTCAGGTGATTCTTAATAAGGATATCTACTAGCTGTGATGGCTTCTTATCTGCCTCGCATTCCATGTACTGCAATCTCAAAAGGATAAGAGGATGAAAATAAGCAAAAGATGAACATAAACTGTAATATGCATATCTATTAGCAGCACATGAAACTTACTATATGGATTCTAGTAAAAATGCAAGACAGAAATAAATGCTAAATTACATAACAATATTGAAGTGATTCTGCTACTAAGGTGACAAAAACGAAACCATTGTATAACAAAGTTATGTCTAATCTGCAACACGCTAGCATGCCTCATAAGTTTCACCTCAATGTGAAGTCCTGAAGGTGTTTTTGAAGATTCTGGTTGTTTGGATGATGCAGGACCATTTTCTGATTTTGATTGTGCTCGAACTTCAACCCTCACAGGGTTCCTCAATCCTGCCTTAGCAAGCTCTTCAATAGCCTCAGTTTGAGTGGCAGAAAACAGACCAGTTCTACGAAGCTTAGGCAAGAGAGTTATAATAGAAGTTATCTGCTTCTGGAATCCCATATCTAAGAGTCTATCAGCCTCATCCAAAATCAAAATCTGTAAGCATAATCACGCAATAATGTCAACTGGCTAAAATGATGAAAATATAACAAATCAAATCAAATATTCTATTCAGTCAAAATTTTCCAACTTCAGCTAGATCATAACTCCACAGCATTAAGTCATTACCCATGTTCCTCAGCTAGAAGACCAGTGATCTTAAATCAGGATGCAACAGCATCAATTAAATATTACTTTGTCAACAAAACCAAAGAAATCTTGACCATTTTCTACAGTAAATCTTTGTACCCCATGTATATAAACAATGTCAAATCATCCAAGAAAAATAAGAGTGAAACACATACCTCAAGGTTTTTGAAATCCAAACCATCCATCCGATTCATTATGTCATATAGCCGGCCAGGCGTGCCAATCAATACGTTTGCTCCTTCCTCCTCTATTTTCCTCATGTCTGCTTTCACTTCTGCTCCACCAACAAGAAGCGTGGACTTAACATTCACCAATGTCGAAATGAAAGGTTGTGCAACATGATATATTTGAGTTGATAGCTCCCTCGTAGGAGATATAATTATCCCTAACACCTACACAAATGTACACATAGCAATCATTAGTGCGATTAAACCTCAACAAAATAAATTGGAACTAACACAGCAATGACTAAAATCCACTAAGCTACTCAACATTTTCCACACTACAATTTCTTCCTCTATTCAGACATGCGCGTGTTCTTAAATTGTAACAGGACACTGCATTCATTGTTAAACGAAACAGAGTGTGGAGGAACCTGGTGAGGCTTAGGGTGAGAAGAGGAGCGGCGTAGAATTTCGACGAGAGGAACGACGAATGCTAGCGTTTTGCCGGAACCGGTGGCGGCGTCGACGGCGACGTCCTTGTAGCTGCACAGTAGAGGTATGGTGGCGGCTTGGACGGGCGTGCAGAAATCGAAGCCGGACTGCGATAGGGCTTCGATAACCGGTTCGGAGAGTGGCGGATTCAGGTCGGAAAAACGCGTGTTCGTTAATGCCTTGTTTGGGAAGTCGGAATCCATGGCTGCGCCGTTCAGTGTGTTTGTTCGCTGCCTTTGTGCAATGACCTTCTCTGTTTGCTTAGGGTGATTTCACGGGTTAATGAAAAAATATTCAAAATAATAATTGAAAATATATAACTAAAAAAATATTTTATTTTATACTTGATTTAGGGTCCGATTGTTTTGAAAGAGGGAAGAGGGGATTTTTTTATATTTTATTTTATTTTAGGTTAAAACTCTCATTTGGTTTCTTATAATATTTTTTTATTTTAATTTAGTCTCACTTTAATTTTTTGTTTCAATTTGGTTTCCAATAATTTAAATTATTGCAAATTGAGACTTCCATCCAAATGATTCAAATGGAGTTAATTGTTAGCCACGTGGATGCCAGGTAGATGTCACGTAGATGCATACGTGGCTGCCAAATTTCATGAATACACATGGAACCAAAATGACCCGTTCTGAAACCAGAACGACCCGTTCTGAAACCAGAACGACCCGTTCTGATTGTACATGTTATGTGTTAATTTTGCAACTGGAACGGGCCGTTCCAGATGCAAATTTAACACACCATGAGTGCACCAGAACGGGCCGTTCTGGACTCAAAACGGTCCGTTCCAGAACGCTAACTTCGTTTTCCAAGCTGTGATTCAAAAATTGAAATTAAAAATTCATAACATATCATAAATTCAAAGATAGAAACATGGTTCAGAAACTAAAAATAAAAATAACATATACTAAAAAAGTTCAAAGAAATTACTGAGAATGGAAATCATCTAGATAACGGTGAAGGGAAACTCTAAACCACAAAAATTCAGGTTGTACTTCCTCAAGAACAGATTATTATTGTTGGGGTACATCGTCAATAACTTCAAGAGAAAACACTGTTTCGTTTCATCCTTGACTGTATAGTGTCAATTTAGAAGTGGTACACTTCAGTTTGACTAATAATGAAATAAAACCTGTTACCATTGTCCTTAGTGATACACTGCATCGTCCTTAAAGATACATTGTATAGCCTAAATGTTTAACAATTGAAGTTATCAACCCCCATTGACAATATTACCAAATCTAGTGTTTGAAATGCTTTGTACCTTGAGTCTTTTTCCGTGCACGATTTACAACCGTGAACGATAATTATCGACCATTCTGGAACCAGAATGACCTGTTCTGAAACCAGAACGGCCTGTTCTGGTTTCAGAACGGGCCGTTCTGGTTCCATGTGTATTCAAGAAATTTAGCATCATCTACGTGGTATCTATGTGACATCCACCTGGCATCCAAGTGACCAACAATTAATTTCGTTTAAATCATTTGGACGGAAGTCTCAAATTATAATAATTTAAATTATTGGAGACCAAATTAAAACAAAAAATTAAAGTAGAACTAAATTGAAACAAAAAAATGTTATCAGGAATTAAATAAGAGTTTTAACCTTTATTTTAAAGTAAAGTGAAGAGTTTGAAGTTTTGTTAGATTTAGATGAGAAAACTTGTTCAGTTGAAAAGAGATAAGAGGCTGTTTGGTTTAATAGGTTTTTATCTTTTTCTCAAATAAAGTAGAAAATGTGTTTAGTTAAATTATTACAATAGTTTCCTTTGAAAATGTTTTCAAAATTAAGACAGAAACTGAAAATAAAAAATGTCGTTTTCCACATTTTCCACATGATTTTTTTTACTAATATTTATTTTAACCGGTGTTGGAATTAGTTCTTAAATTTTAAAATCTCGAGATTTTGAATTTAATAAAAAAGACTTTACTAATATCATGTAAAAAAATAAATTCTCTAAGTCTTATTAAAAAAATTAATATAAAAAATATCCTCAGTATTACATCTAATTAAAAGTCTGAATAAAAAAAAATATCTGAATCAAAAAGTTTAACATTTAATTTCTTGACTAGTCGGTTTGTTTTTTTTTTTTTTTACCTTGACTGGTAGTTACACGAAATCTATTATTTATATTTCTCAAAATAAATTATGGGTTTAATAATAATACTCGATGTAAAATAATTATTATAGTACAAATTCTGTATTATAATTCTCAAAATAAATTATGAGTTTAAATTATATTTTATATGACTTTAAAATAATTATTACAATAATTAATAAATTTATTATTTATATAAATGATAATTAGATTTCAATGTAAAATTAGTTAAAGATTATTAGTGTATTATTATTAAATTTATAAATTATAATACGATTTATTTTTAAGGCATTATTACACATAATTATAATCTATTTGAATATAAATTTTGAAGTGTTTTTTTCAGTTCGTCTATGGAGTATCCAGGACCTCAAAGGGTGAGATAGCTGACCCCAAGATTTAATGCGGCTATATACATGAGGCAAGATTCGAACTCCTGATCTTATTTAAAGGTAGATCAATCCCTACCACTTAACCACACGCTTGGTCAAAGTGATTTTAATTAGACCATGGAAAAAAGGGGAAAAAAAACAAAGAACTGTTTAAATTAATGTAACAGGTAAACAAGTAAAGTAGTCGTAGGGGTGGAATCAAGTACAGATGGTCCACAGGAGGATGTTTCTGAGTTTGTTCCCTCTTCCTTCCTTCTTCAACTCACATCTCACGCTTCTCTCTGCTGAAAACCAAGCATGAAATAATAAACACGCGTTTCCACCCTTCCACAATGCCAATGCTGCTTCAACGCATCGTCGTCACTCTCTTGGCGCTTCTTCTACGCCTCGCCTCCGCCACCGCCACCGCACCTTGCCGATTCACCTTTCTCGATGGAAACAAACTCTACAATTACTCCCTCTCTTCTCCCATACGCAACTTCCCCCACGGCATCCTCAGCGAAGACGGGTGCACCCTCTCTCTCTCTCTCTCTTTCTGATCTGCTCTTAACCCTCTCGCTTTGCCGTTGATTTTACGCTGTTCCGTCGTTTGTCGCTTTCTGTAACGTTTTCTATGTTGCGTTATTTTCATGCTTTTTAATTTTTGATTGATTGGATTATCATATTTCGTTATTCCTTGATTCAAGTCAACAAGCATTTCCGGGATTAGTTAATTACTGTTGCAACGGAAACGTGTTCTGCGCTTCGAACGTGCTTCCTAGAGTCCTGGAATTTTGTTTTTGGACTCTCTGGTTTTATTGTAGTTTGCGAATGGCGGTAGCGTTGGTCCTTATATCACTATTTAGAATAGGGATTTTACTGTGGAAGTTATACAGCTCTGACTGAAGATTTGTTTTTAATATATTTATTTTGGTGCTTGTAGATTTTACAAAGTAGCAGTAAACGAGACCACTCTTTGGTTTCAGGTTGGCTCCATCAGGTCACACTTATATCTTTTGTTTCCAACTTTCCTTTGATTAGTAATATTTTTTAGCTGTTTATGGACTTATGGTCTGGCATCATCTATTAACACATACTAAAATTTGTTATTTCGTATTTGGGCTCTGGCCCTCTAACTCTGCAAAGAAACGAGTAAATTTCCAAAAAAAGTAATGGAGATAGACAGATAGTATGTGTAGTGTGGGGTAATTTAGACACCCTTCATAAGTCCCTTAGCTTACAAAACATCATTCACTCTAGTCTTTTTTGGTGTAAATTCGTGGACTAACAAAGGGGTTTTAAAATCTTAGAGACTAAAATGCACGATCCATATAACTGCGAGGATTAATTTAGTGGTTCACTTGTAAACGAACTTGCTTCAATTTGGTCTTCCAATGACTGAATTAGTGTTTGACTGTTTGTTATATATGTCACTATGCAAGGTCAATCACTTTAGTTGAACTGGTTAATGAATAGATAGACTTTCGAAGCACAGCATACACATTATTAGGAAACAATAGACTTTAGAGCATGTTTGGGAAGCATCATTTCAGCTGCTTTATACCAAAAAAAGCTGCTTACAAAAAAAGGTGGATGTTGCGAACTACGTAAAAACTGATTTTTTGTTGTATCCAAATGAAATTCAATATTTCAAAATCCTTTATCAACATATTTACCCTAATAAAAATTCTTTCAAATTATAATTGATTATAGCAATAATCTACTAAACACATAATTGATTATTAATCTATTTTTCGTTGCTTTCCCAAACACACTGACACTCTTAATGTAGCTTAATGTTTGTGCCAAGTTGATCTATATTGAATTATGTTCATTTGGTTTTTGGGCAGCTTTGCGATGGAATGATTTTCAATCATGACCCTCCAATATGTGCTGACTGTTCGGTAAATTTGTCTCTTTTCTGTCCTGTGAAGCTATTTTTACTCTATGCTGATTGAGTGACATATAGTAATCATGATTAGATGTGATTTATGAATTTTAATCATATTTTATGATTAATTATGCTTTTGGATAAAATTAATAGTTGATGAAATCACAGGAGTTGTAGATTATTTGTTGCTTGTAATGTATCTCAAATATATTGTTTCCTGTCTTCTTTTCAGTACAGGATTTTTTTTTTATCTAGTCATTTTCCTTTGTATTTATCCATCCTTTTTAAGTTTTCTTAGAAAATTGTAGAGTAAAAATCATCCATAGGAAATAAATCCAAACAGAAATCCAAAGCTTTAGTGCATCCTTCTTCTGGCATGGATGTACACTCAACAACAGACAACAGTGAAGTTGTACATTTTTTAATGAATAAGGAAGAAGGAAGAATAAGTTATTAGATTAGTTACTTACAGTTACAAACAAGCATGATTTGGCATCACAATCTGATAATGTATTATAAATGTTCCAAAAGATGAAGCTGGTTGGAAAATATATTTAGTTTAATTTACTAAAAATTAGCAATCAGTCTTTTATTTTTTTGGGTAAAGATAACAATGATTACAAGGATGGTTGCAATGAGGATCGAACCTAGGTCTCTATGCTTCTATTATCCCAACTCCTTCCCTTCTCCCCAACCACTAGAGTAACCCTAAACTTTAAATCCTGAACCCCTAACAAAGATAATAAATATATTTAGTTTAATTTAGTAACAATTAGCAATCAGTCTGTTTAGCCTAGTGCCTGGTGGTCACTGTTCACATAAAAGTGATGCTACTTCAAAAGGTTAAATGAAAAGGTAGAATGGGAGATCATATCATTGATAAATAGCTGCAGGGACAAGCATTGGATAGAATTTTAAGGCTGTTCAAAGGTCCTGCATCAATTTGCATTAAGTAAATTGTTTCATGGAATATCTTGAAATAATGTAATATATTTAATTATTTATTATCCCATAATTTTACAAAGTTTTCTGCTTATTTGATTGTCTTATTGTATGCTTTAGGATTGTGGAGGGCCAAAACGTTGTGGGATGGAGTGCAATGCCCTTATAGCAAACAAAATTGGAGGTAGAATTCCTAAAACTTCTGTTTTCTCCCATTTACTTGTTTCTGTTCATATATTATAGTGTCTACTACTTTATGCTTGTGGTATGGTGACAGACAGAACTAAACAGGTCTGCTGCTTTGTTAAGTTGTTATACCTTGTAATCCTCATTATGAATGGAATTATATGATTAGTGCATGTTTGACCTTGGTATGAATTTCTCCAATTGCAGAATTGCTTTTTCAGAAGCATTTTTTTGAGATCATGATTAAGTAAAAAATGCAATTTAGGTCATTTTGGCTTCTAGTCTCTGTTGCTATTTCTCTTTCACCATAAAATAAAGATTCTACCACCATGTCACACAATTTAGGCTCCATTTGGGGTGGTTTTTAGTTTTAAATTTAAAACTTTAAAAAACTAAACCAGTTTTTTTTTTTTTTTTTTTTTTTTTTT